TACTGTCTTAGGAACAAGACTGACTGGCAGTAGCTGTTACTACTGGTCAGTGAAGGAATAAGCAGCTCATTTTAGCACAATACATGCAAATATACTTGTCCTATCTTTATTAATTGCTGCAGTATCTTATACACTAGAATTCTATCATCTGTCTAGACATCCTTCCCTTCCCCTGCCTGCACCAGCATCCTGAGAAGAAACTTTATTTTCAAGGAAAAATACCCCACAAACCCGAACACAACTCTCAAGATGTTAATCAGTCGACATAATTACCTCAAGCAATTAAAAAATAAGATGGGATATACATCTACTTTCCATTTTTTTTTGTACAAACAGTAGTCCTTTCTTAAAGCCAACTTCCCAACACAGTTTATGTAGACTGTGTGTAGAAGAACTCTTTAATATCTAAAAGCAATTTAACTTGTAACAGGCCACCAACAAATATGGAATTTCCATGACCAAGATAATGTTTTTTTCTATCCTGTTTCCACCTGAATGGCTATAAAATTACTGATTTGTTTACTAAACAATACCAGATAAATTGATTTTCATCTGGACCACAGCACTGATCAAGTCCAAATTCAAGATTTATATTCACATAACAAAACCAGTACAATACTATTAACTACTAGTTACTACTAGCTATCAGTTACCAGTATCTGGGTACCCATGCAAGTGTATTAAAAACAAACATGATGGAGGTAAGACATAAAGGATACAAAAGTCTTGAGTGCCACAAGACAAGATCAGATTAACTTCTAAAGCCTATACTCTTTGGGGAAATAAAGCTAACTCAGGCAGTTCTAGCAAACAGTTATTATTTAAAAAGCCAGAAAAGGTGTCAAAATAAGAAAATATATATTTGTTAAAAAAAAATCCAGTCATAATTTGAATAAACAGAGATTGAGATATGCATTGAAATAAGCTTACTTATTTTACTGGTAGTTTTTCTTAATATAGAACAAAATGACCACACCACAAGGGTAGTGAGGTAATAGATTACTGGTTCCTTTGGTTTCAGATGTTAGCAAGACAACAGTATTGATCTCATATTTGATCTCTAAGTTCTGTTCTCCAGTCAGAAATCATTAAATGTAATACAAATGCTTGCTATAAAACACTAGAAACACTTTCACCCAGTGCTAGAGAGGCAATTCCAGTCACTGGGCCCTGTCCTCTGCCTGGCCACTGTATGTATGTACAGAGTAAGATGAGTTCACTCACCTTGACACCAGAAGCAATCTATGGGTTACTCTGTGGCTGAAAATTCAGACCAAAGGCTTTTAAAAATCTGTCTGATTTTTAAAATCTGGTATATCAAATGATCACCAAGATCTTCCTCAACGAGATGAAGTTATTACTCACAAACTACCATTCATAGAAAGAGACTAAGTTACCATTAAAAACAACTCAGAAGAAGGCATGCAACTCTGAAATCTTATCCAGAGAGATAGTTTTGTCAGCAGAGAAAATGATGCTTATTCTAGGGCACCTGTAAAAGATAATAAGATGGGTGGAATAAAAGAAAACACTAGGGAAGAAGAAAGCTAGAAAAAAACAAGTGAGGAGTGGAACAATGAATAAAAGGGTAAGTTATTCTTGATTACAATGTACAAAGAAACAAACCACTGGCTAGCATTTCTTTGATATTTTTCAAGCCATCAATCCTTCTATTAATACACACCTGTCATCACAGTGTCTCTATATCCTTACAGAACTTTAAATCCAAGGATTACTCATGTACCACTCATGTCTCCTCTCATTCATATAACACATTAAGTCACCCCAGTATATTTCTGAAAATATATTGTAATAAATAACACATAAGCAATCAGCCCACAGTGTATTTTTTCTCACCAGCTAGAGACAGAGAATAGAACTGTCTGATGGGGTTCTTGTGCACTAATAAATTATTTATGTACCAAAGCTTCATTGACCTTACCTCATGCATTACTAGAATGAAAATCATATCACTCCTTTGTATTAAATTGGAGAACTAACACTGCTGTATTTTCAGGTTACAACTCTGCTTGGCCAGGTTGTTGTTTACCCGCTCCTGCCTACATGGAGGGATGAAACAATTCATTAAAGAATAGATTATGTTTTGGATATATAATGAAGATTAATTCAAAGAACTTGTTTTCTTGATAGTACTTTTCCATCCAAAAGTAAGAATTGGGAAGCTGACTGTGAATGAGTTATGGGGTAACAGAAAAAAAAAAATAAACCCATTCATAAAAGTCATGTAAACCCTGGAGTGTCTATTAGTCACTTCTCTTGAAAGTTATTATTGCTCCTGCAAATATTAAAATGAAGATAAAAAACCTCAAACTGCTATTTGCTTAAATACTTGAAACTACTATAGCCAAACTATTATTTACTTAAATGATAAACTAGGTATTTGGACATGCATGAATTCACACATAAAGAAGAGGGGGCAGGTTGTGATAACTTAGAAGTTACAAACTGTACATGCTGTGAATTTTGTAGAACTCCTCTAAGAACTGATTTATAAGATGTTCTTTCCCACAATAATGTGCAATTCAAGTAATAAACAGAAGATGAATATATTTTGTATTAGTGGACAAACTGACATTAAGAACATATCCTTCTTCAAAGGCTGCATACAAAGAGTTCAAAACTGCATTTCCTTATCACAGAACAGCTGAGGCTGGAGGGGAACTCTGGAGGCCTTGTCTAAGAACCCTGCTCAAATAGGACCACCCAGAGCAGAATGCCCAGGACCACGCCCAGATGGTTTTTGACTGTCTCCAAGGGTGGAGATTCCACTGGATTTCATTATCTGTGAATAGACTGTCTATAATACCAGTTATCCAGCTCAGTAAAAGCAAGCTGAAGGTAAAATAAGGGACTATTTGGCTCCAATAATACTGCATGCTACTCAGCAGAAGTTGTTCTTCAGGCAATATGTTCTTTCAGTAGGCTGTTCCAGCTAGAAAAGATATTTTGAAAGTTTTAAATTCTGAACAATTGTTGAATGTTCTGCAGACATAAATGAAAAAATATCATATTCATCCACTAGACATAAAAACATGAAAGACTTTTTGTTAATAAGTGTTGCCAGATATGCTAGAGGACCTGAAGATACACTCTTACCAAACCAGTTAGTGACTGCTGAGGCAGAATCCCTGACTGAAACACGTCCTCCTTGTTGGCATGAAAAACAGAGTGTGAAGGGAAAACAAAACTGCTACTCAAGAGTCAACACATATTCAGAATAAGCTGAGAAGTGGGCTGTACCAGTTCACCTGTAAAGTCTCCTTAGCCACTTGCTGTATTCCTTTTCTCCTTTATAATAATTTATATTATTTTATTTGTGGAAACAAAAATGGAGGTCCTAGTATGACATCTCATAACCATGCAGACACGCGTTGCCCAGAGACTACATCCAATAACATATTTTCATAACCTGGCCTTGGTGTCAAATGGATTCTCTGTAAATATAAGAAATACTTCAGCAATTCAGAAGGAAAAAAATAAAAAGAGACTGAAAGACTTTCACCTGCTGGGTTAAAAGTAGAATCTAATTTATAGAAATGATTGCATGAGATGTAACATCAAAGTTAGTTCTTATTTTCTAACAATGTACACAAATGCACAGACTTTAAATAGTGGAACCAATTTGAGTTTCAATATTTTGGATCTTCCTTGTGCGCTATCTTCAATTATGTCCTCAGACCTTCATATTCTTATTGTACTACAATGACCAGGTAAAGTGACTGTGATTCCCCTCTCTCATGCCTCATAAAAATCAGGAAAAAATAATGAAAATATTAATTATTGATAGCTGTTTCTTCATATATATACACCATCTAATGTCTAACGCACTACTGTAGAAAAATACCTGCAAAGTACAATTATACGATCTAGTGTCATTATTTGAATATAGAAGTAGACTTTAAAGTAAACTCTGCCATTAGCAATATTTAAATGCTTGTGTAACAGACTATATGTTTATTGTAAATGTAGTTGTTCATGTACCAAAGAAGCTCTATAGTAGCTCACGCTTTGGATGCTCATTACTACGAAATAAAATCTTTGGCTACAGGCACAATTTTTCATCTTTAAAATGAATGTATTAGATAATCACTTTGCCAAGGCAGATAAAGAAAGCAAAGATTCAGTCAAGGTGACAATTACCATCTGGCCAGCTACTGTAATTATTATGCTCCCAATTAAATGCACATGCAATATTATTACATTAACATTACGGTGTATGTTAATATTGAACATCACCAGATTTGTGTATTATTAGAGGTATTAAAGTTATATGTATGTCTGTCTGGTTTGAAGTCTGACAATACATCTGTGTCAACACCCTCTGTGAGTTAAGTTCTTTACTCTTCGTACATGGATGCTACGATCTACACTCTTTTGTCTTTCCTCTGCACCCTTCTCTCTCCCAGTTTTGGGGACTGACTACCTGTCTGAGTGCTTCCTTAGAGTACAAATAAGGACTGAATTAAAATAAGGACAAACATGAAATCAATTTAGACTTTCCCTGTTGTAAGTACCTAATAAATTGCCCAGACAATGGAGAGCAGTGCTCACCAGGGTGAATATAGAACCAACAATGCCTTGAAAACTGCTAAAGAAAGCAGGGTAATGTCTGAACACTCTAAATTGAATGCATACATTTATAAATCTATAAGAAAACCAAGAACAGTGTGCCATTTAGTTCTTTTTTTTTAGATTTAAGTCTTGTGAAATCTAATTTTGAAATTACTGAAGTTCAAAGCAATACAATAACCTACAAACACGTTTGACTAAACATGTTCAGAAAATTCTTTCAAAACAAACTTGTGAAATTTTAGCCTTTTGACTTCTATGGAACTATTTCACCTCATAAATAAAACCAGACAGAAGCAGAATTTTTGCCACCAAATTCAGTGGAAGCAGGATTAAGTACTATACAAAAATTAACATTCAACTTTAGTGAGAACAATGTTTTACTTAGAAGAGTATTAAAATATTATTACCTCCAGCAAGAATCTTCTCTTCCAAATCATTCATTTGTTTCTTGTATGCTTTTAAAGCAGCTTCTTTGAATGATGGCCGTATTCTTTTTTTCTTTGGAATTTCAATAACTGTCTCTGGGACATTCTGATTTTCATCTTCTCTTATTTCTACCTCAGGAACCACATCACTTTCAACTTCCAATATCTCTTCACTGATCACGCTGTCAAACTGTGTGTCATATTGCTCCTCTGGCAGCATTGCATACGGAGTTTCATACAAAGACTGCTCCAGTTCATATTCTTGGACTTGCTCACTAGTTTCACTACTATTAGTTCTGTTTTCTAGTTTAGCAAGCACCTGTTCCATTACTTCTACATAGTCTGTTTCATTCTCCCCAGATGGTTCAATTAAGTCTTCCTCATACTCAGCTTTGTAGCAATAAGGCTCAGCATAAACATCAGAATCGAGTGTTGTACTTGACTCGTTTGCAGTAGACTGAGATAAAGTTCTAAACCTTCCCATAAAAGATGATCCACTGTCTTCGTATCCACTTAAACTTTGTGTGCTTTTATTCCAGACTACTTCTAAAGCTGACTTAGCACGTTGAAGTGTAGATCCAAATTTAGGAAAGCTGAAAGCCTTATCAGAAAGGTCTATGCTCAACCGGCTATGCCACGATTTAGGGGCTGTTTCTTCTGAATCATCACTTGGTAGTTCACTCTGACTTCGGTACATCATAGGCAATCTGTTTTGATTCTGATAAGAGGACATAGAATTTGTATCCTGATAATCATCATATTGACCAGTCCACTGACTTTGTGTTTCACTATCAAGGCCTGGACATGATGGAGAAGTACCATCTAGGGTGAAATCATAGCTTTCAGTATCATACTGGAGGTCAGAACCTTGGCCCTTTCCAAAATCCGTCTGTTGATCTGAAGGGCTGCTCATATCATACACAAAAACTTCCTGTGTGGATGTGTCTAGGCCCAAATCTGCCCCTTGTTCCAACTGATTCCAGTCTTTCCACGGGGAAAGATCATCATGTAAAGCAAGCTGAGTATCACTATAGTGGTTTCTGTCTCCAGATGCACAGATCATTCCATTGCTTACTCCACTATCAACAGTTTCTATGTTTCCTATTTCGTTTTGCTCCGGATGCTGTTCCATGTCTTGGACAAAAGTCTGTTCCTGGGAGCTGCCATACCAGTTTGTAGAATCATCTTGCCTTCGTTGCCAAAGTTCTCGATCAGAGGAAGACAATAGCGAACTGCCATTTGTTCTGTTAAAATACTGGTTTTCTGAAAAATCCTCAGAGTAAGACTGACACAATTTTGAGAAATCCGACTCTGAACGGCTGAGCTTTGGTGTTGCAAAGTCATTCTGTAAGTGCCACAAAGGAGTCATGTCTGAATAATAGGCCTTTGATTGTTTCTCCAGATTGTCAAATTCTGGTGACTGATTGCCATAACTTCTATTTGAAAAGGTGCCATTGTCAGCAGTTCTTTTAAGGTCTTTAGTGTTTGGGGACTCAGTAATCCCCTTTGTAGTGCTTGTTTTTATTTGAAATGCTGATTTAGATATCTTTGCATAACTGTTCTTATTTATATCTGATTCCAAGTCTTTATCACTGTCAGGTGACTCCCAGTCATGCATTTTAGATTTTGTCTCCACAGTTAAAAGTTTCATATCCATACTTTCATATGTCTGAGAAGAAGGTAGTCCTCTTTCTTTTTTGTCTTTTATGTCATGGGAAAATATATCTGTAGAAATTCCAATGCCAGTTCCCTTAAGTTTATAAGACTTTTTTAAAATCAAATCTCTCTGTTGTGACGACTCAAAGTAAACAAGAATGGGTCTTGGCTTTGCATTTGGACAGTCTCTTTGTTGCCCTAATCTTTGGGCAAATTCAATTTTAATAGTGCTTTGTGCCTCTGAGAAGCCCATTTTATCTATCAGTATTTTGTAAACTATGCTTTCAGTTTTTTCCAGTCTCTCTTCAGGCACGTTTAGAAACCTAAGACTTGCTTTGTTTCCTGGATGGCCTATCTGCTTAATGTAGTCATGGATGTCCCGGGTTTCTCTTCTGGACTGTACAAACCCAGTTCGCAACTGTTCGATTTCATTTTGCACAACTTCGACACTGCTGGAAATTTCATCAATGGATTGTTTCAGAGCATTAACGTGCCCTCTTAATTCAGAGAGTTCTGTTTCAATTTGACTTATTCCCTGAAGCTCTTTAAAGATCATTTCCATAACATCATGGGTTTGACTAATACAACCTGTCGAACTAAAGCCAGGTTCAAGAGTATTTGATTTCTGGTGACGTCCAGTTCTGTCCAGAGATTTACTTCTTAATCCCCATGTTTTCTTCCATGTACTTAGTTCAGAGTCCGATGAGACACATTCTTGGCTCTTTTTCCATTTCCTCAGTTTTCTTAAAGCTCCCAGTTTCAGTGTGTGCAAAGTGCGTTCCCCGTCTGAACTTCCATCGGACGGTGCGAGGCTGCTCAAGCTTTTCCTGTTGCGTCTCACAGGCATCGTGTGGGATGAGTATTCGTTCTTCTTGCTATTACTTTTTATTTCACTTAAAGAGTCAGAACACGAGCTATCATTTGAAGACAGGTCTTGAACTATATCTTCATTATCAGTGCGTGCTACCAAAACATGCCTTTGCAGTCCATTGGCAATAGCAACTCTGTAACTGAATGTTGGCGAAAGGGAAAATTCTCTATTGCTTTCCTGTTCTTCAGTTGATAAGTTGCGAGCAGATGGGCACTTGGCAATCTTTTTAACGGTGCTTTTTAAAGTATTTGAAAATTTTGGATTCTTTGTATGTCCAGTCTGAGTAAAGTCTTGTTCCTTTTTGCTCTGACAACTCTCTTTCCTTTTTGTACTATTTCCCGATTTCTTTGTAAACATTCCTTTGCGGATCTTATATATGTAAGATGAGATCAGGCTCTTTAGGAGGGCAGAAACCATGGAGTGTAATTTATTTCAAGCCGTTTCCACAAAACACCATTTTTGATCCAGACAAGTATTTGTATCTCCAACAGGATCATCATCAGTGGGGACCATATCCATATAAACTATTGTTGCTCTGGAATAATTTGACAGAAAAATACAAAAAAAAGGAAAAAAAAAAAAAAGAAAAGAATCACACATCTGCTTGTTGGAAACAAAATCCTGCAGGGGTTTTGTACGTCTTGCAAAATCTCCCTCTGTTGTTCATGGCTTCTTGAAGTGTCTAAAAAGGAGGGAATGATGTTACAATGGCTGCCAACCAAACTTATCATTCAATAATACTGATGTTGTTTTAACTAGGTTACAATGGAAACACAGATGATTCCCCATAATTGTCTGCACAGATTTTTTCATGAATAATTGAAACTGAAAACAGTTCTAGAAGAATATTTTTAACATAAATGAATAAGCTATACTTATTTACAGGCTTCTTCCTCCACTTTAATTCTCTGACTTGAACAGAAATATTCGTATTAATGCTCTGTGTTTTCTTTCAGAGTAATGACATTTCAATTTAGATCCATACGATATACAGCAGTGATCAAAAAACAGACAGGGAAGCAAGTTGTTACTATCTAGTAAAACAGAAGTAGAAAGTTCTCTCTTGCTTTATCTTTTGGACCAAGGTTGGATTCAGATATAACAAGTGAGTATTGTATCCAAGAAGTACTGTTCTATCTTGACATTGGATTATTCACATGACTATGGTTTGGGAAATAAATGCTTTATTTTAATATCAGACTTTAACAAGGTCTGGTAAGCCAGGACTCAAAAGTAAGCATATCTTCTTTGTTTCTTTTCTTTAAGAAGTAAAAAAAAAAAAACAAACAAAAAAGGCATATAAAATAGCAGAAAATCTTAATGACAACTGATGGACCTTCTCAACTAGGTTACTAAATTTGACATTGTTCTGGTCACAGAAAGAAAACATCAAACCTATACAAAACAATATACAGATATGATTTACAGTTGCAGGATGGAAACAGGTGCCATTACAACAGGAAAGCTGTTTGATCTAAAAGAAGACTAAGAAAAGATTTCATGAGGTATCTGGAAGCTTCTATTCCATAAAACAAAAGCTTGTATTCTATAGAAATGTGGTCAACATGCTTTAAACATGTAAATGTATTTTTGTACAGTATATCATTCACCTCCCAGTTTCATTGCTGCGGAATAAAAACAAGACAAATAGCTCAGAAAAATCCAACAAAGAAGTTCTTAAAATGACCATTTTGGTTTCTAAAGCAGCTAAAAATTCTTTGGCAGAATATTATTTAGATACATGGTATATGAAGGGTTAAAAATTGCTCTGTGGTGTCTTCAGAGGCACAAAGAATATGAACTGTCCTTCGTGTCTGCAAACAGCATGGCACTGTGTGAAACATTATGGAACACTCACACACCTCAAGATCTAGTCTTTGCATAACATGGTTTGTCTTTACTGATCTTACTGTTAAACTCATGCAATGGTCAATAATAAACACTAACCACTGATTCACACTGCAGCAGCAAAATGCACTATGCTGCAGAAAGCACAGGGAGAACTGCTAAAAGCCTGGTTGGCTTCTGGAATCCTGGAACAGAGGATGTAAACAGACTTATATCTTTTCCAGTTATAACAAAATTGGAATGCAGACCAAGAGCAAGCAGAACAAGAATAAACAACATTGTTCATCCTTTCCAAAGTTACTACCTATTATTTTATAAAAAGCTGAAATATCTGTTGGATATGAGTCACGTTTATAATGTATCATCAGCACACCCCTTGCCATTTCTTTTTCTTGTAGGCTTATGCCTGAAGTCAGAGTATTAAGAGTGAATTAAGAGCAAGCAACGTTTGGAAGCAAAGGCGTGCTCAATGTGACTGCATGCAATTTTCAAGGAGTGCAAATGGTATCTCTCAGAATATTGCACAGCTTTCACTACAGCCAAGGTTGCCTGGTTTTCACATATTATTAGTAGCGAAAGGAACCATCCTGGGACACTTTTCAATGTCAAAGGTACGTTTCTAGGTGTAGAAACACTTGTTAACAATTCAGCTCTTACACTGAATGTTTGTAACCATTTATCAAATAGGATTTAAGTGTGACTGCCTGCCTTCTATACCCACACAGAAATAGATTTTTAAATGCCTTCTTATATAAAGTTCACTTGGATAACTTGGACATTCTTCAAATGACTTCAAACCAAGAACGAATAAACAAGCTAGAAGGCTTGTTTCCTGTCTCAGCCTAAAAACATCAAGAAATAATGAAGTTATCACTGGAATCAGGAATATTTCCATTCATTTTAAATAAGCTTTAATGTTTCTCTGTAGAATAATCTTGATTTCGTAGCCAGTCAGATATATATATATGTTTGACCTACTGTCTAACTTATGCTTTTTATCAGAGATAATTGAAAGTATTACAAGTAGGTACACATTCAGCACTCAATTTGTCAGAAACCCAGTTTCTGACAATGCCATAGTCAATTAAAAGCTGTACTGTTACAAACACAGGGAGATCTGCTAAATGGAGCAGATTTATGTTCTCTCATGCGAGTTCTATTCCATCTCAGCTGTATTAGTCATATGATCTGTTAATCAGTTTACAGCCTACCATTGCACTGTCAAAAACTCATTTTCTAAAATTGTCTATCTACACACGGAATCAAGTTTGAGTCATTATAGGGCTCATCCATTGCTTTCTGTAAAGATTTACATGGGTTGTTCTTAATATTTTAAATCAGTGTAGGTTAAAACTTTAGAAAATAAGGAACATTCTTTTAAGAAGCACATAGGACTAAGTAATTATTTGAATGATCTGAAAGCTGTCATTCGGATATTTTCTGGTTTTATTCAGGTCTCCCAATAAGCCATCAGGACCCGATTTTTAAAATTTTTACTTTCCTTGTTTATTGAATTAAAACAATTTATATTATAAAGATGAACACCATTGAATTAACCCATTCTAAGCATAAGGAATCAAGCTGAAATGATACAGTAATGACGTATGGACTTTATGCTAGATGGTTATAGAGCAGGAAACTGGAAAGTGTTATGAACCGTGAGATTAGAACTAAAATAAATTGTAAATGGGCTTCTTCTATAAAGAAAGGACACAATGGCACTTCCATCAACTTTTTACCCACAGCAAGTCTGAAAATAGACATTTGCCAATCAACATGATGGTGAAAAGGTAATTTGGATACTGTTGACAACAAAGCATTGTCAAAATAAATATGTCAGTTGGAAGCATCACTTATAAAGGATTCTTTTCCAAGTCTAAAACTAATGCGTCAGGTAGAAGGGGGGTGGAGTGGGCTGGGCTAAAAATTACACCTTTCTAAACAATGCAAGCAGTGTATTCTAGTTACATGTCTGAGCACCAGACCCTCATAGATTCCAATTTTTAAAAATTATTTTAACAAATCCAGCCCTTTATTCTTATAAAGAAAATTGAATCATCTTAAAAACATGATTTCAGTATTTAAATAGAATAGTTAGGTCACTGCTGATCTTCTGTTCAGACCCCAGTAAATAAAGCTGTAGAGCAGCAGCTCTCTCCATTCAGAGGTAGCTTTGGGGATGCAGACTGTCCCCTTTAAAAAAAGCAAGAACCAGGCAGAACCACAGCCTTGCTTAGCCTTTACACTATGAATCAACAGCAAGGGGTCTGTGGGTATTGGAAGGGGACAGGGAAGAAGATGAGACTCAAGTGCAGTCTCCCTCTACAAAATGCCACACGAAAGTTTGTGTTCACAACACCAAGACAGTAGAGGAAAACAAACCAAACCCAGACAGTCTTTTTCTGCAGCAAAACCACTTTGTATTACTGCCAAAATAGTCACTACTCTGTACAGACAGCAACATCTTTTTTTGATGTGCAAAATGCTTCACAGGAATTAATTAATCACACATAACAAAAATATGTAAACAATTCACTTTGCAGTCACAGAAACTGAGGCTAAGAAAGGTCCTCTTACTTTCAGGAACACAAGGAATCAATAAAAGTATTCATATGCACAGATTTATTAAGCATGGTATTTTACTAGTCTTAAGGTTGCCTGGGAATAAGGTTTATCTTGACATAACTGTACTTGCCCTCAGTGCATGTCTCTTGGGTGAAACCTTTGCTACTTTCCTTTAAACAAGGTGTATACTCCAGAGAGCTTCATTAATTTACTATAACAGTGGCATTATACTGACAATCATCTCAGATGACCTAATTCAGAAGAACTTAATTTAGAACAATTATCTGCTCCTTTACATTCTTCTTAAATTCTCCTCGTAATCTTAAATACTGACACTTTAAATGTGCATTATTGGTGAGCCTTTCAAGGTAAGGTGGTACATCTTAATACTGCACAAGCTACATGGATGGCCTGCCTGCAGACCCTGGCAGAGGTGGAGGCCACAACAATGGAGTAGTCCTGCCTTCTCTTTTGGATAATTACTCTTTGTTCCAGGAATTCCTTAGATTTTCACCAGTAGACCTTTGTCCTACTGTATTAGCCCCTCCAACATTCCCACAAAAGCATGGAGTGTTATCAGCAGTGTCTACTTTTGGCTAGAAAGCTATTCTTATTTTTCACCAAAATGATTTGGAAAGTTCACTATATCTGCTTATTTATCTAGTGATATTTCCTTATGGATCCTGCTATTAATGTATCTGACCACCACTAAACATGTTGCATTCTCTACTTATAGGAAGTGTTATAAATACAACTAACCACTAAATTGTTTTTTCAACCCCCAATCTAAGGATCCTACAAGCTGCTTATGTTTTAGCCCACAAGACCTACCACTGTCCTGAAGAGCTTGCATGTATATTCATTAGGTATAAGGTAGAATCCAACCTAAATTTTTAGCAGTTATACTGCTCATTATACTGGTCATTCATAGCTGTAACATACCTGTTCTTTCAGCATACAACTTGAGTTTAAGGATGACAGATTCAAGCAGCACAGGTTTAAAACTG